CTCATCTCTGATTTCATCCCCCTTCTTTGTGCATTCCCCCAGTTTCAATATGATTGCGCTGCATGGCATGTTCTTCATCATTGATATGAGTCGTGTCGACCGATTGATTTACTCATCTCCCGTCGTCGATCAATAGCCGTTTTGTTTTGCGATGCAGATACCCTATTATCGATTCGGCATGGCTGTAGGAATTGGGGAGATGAGCATTGTTCATCCGGTCCTATTTGCACTGATTCTTCTATCGGACTTGTTGAACTCATTTCGGATTGTCCGGGCGTCTGGACGTGATGACCAGTGGGATGCACTGAATCGCATTCCGTTCGTATCGATCGGGTCTAGACGACTGAGCCGAATAAGTCGAGCGGATTATGATGGTCGATTACGGGATTCCGCGAACAAACGTCTGAGTAAGTTCCGAACTGTGGGACCAGATGGGTGGGTGGGATGGTTTAAGGGGTTTGAATGTTCATCGTTTGTTGCATGTCAATCAGTGAGCGCATGACTGAACAGGTGACCAGTGTTTTAATTTGCATGATTATTTGTGGCATGTTCCGTTTGACCTCAATTCATAGTCTTCTGCACCCCGAGAAACCGGACCTTCCACTTAGATTGGACAGTAAAATGTATCCCTAAAAAGTAACCGTTTTATCATCAAAACTAGAAAATTTAGAAAAAGTCTCCAAATATTTATATGATAAGGCAGTTTAAAAGATGATAGATATGATTTGCAATCCCATCTTGGTGGATAGTCAAATTACGGAGGTGGGCAGAGGGTGGTGTGACAAGGGTGAAAGAGCGAGCTCTCAGCCGCAAACCCTCCTCTAGTCAAGTAAGTCAGTAGCAGTAGTATTGTTCTGTCATACCGTTTGATTACCGAAACTTTGGAGCTAAATTTTGGTACTTGGGGTAGAGTACTATATCGAGGCCCTATCAAATAGGACGAACGTGACATTCAACTGGGTGACAGCAAAGCTGCCTAGCATCAGAGTTAAGTGGAGATAAATACCTTTGAACCTTGAGCCCCAGTATTCAGCGCATACGAGTAGTATTGACTTAAACCGTCACGAACAGTCACTAGCGATTAGTGGATGATCATATTCTAACTATGATGTGATCACTGCTCGTAATTTTGAAGCAACTATCATTGTTAATTAATCCAACACCGAAACGAAGACATGCAGTTTTGGTAAATCGTTATATCGAGTACAAGCCTCGTTTGATTAAACTCAAATAGGGATCCCATTGGATAGTATCAGTTTTACAACCAAATGAGTGGTCTTTTGTTTTATTACGGACCTTTGTAGTGTGTGATGAACAGCAGATGGGGCGAACCCCCCCTCCTCCCTATAGTCACGAGGACTTGCTGTTCAGTGGTGGAAACCGGCAACCTAAGCCCCGCGAGACTTGAAGTGGTGAACCACATAAGGCCCCGATAGGTTAGGCGTAGTATTGAACCGGACGACAGCAGAGCTGCCTACCACCAAAGTCGGGTGGCGGTGGCGAGGTTCGAGCCTCGGACCATAGGGTCCAAAGAACGCAGGTGACAGCGACTAAAGCATTATCGGCAACACTGCATGTGGGTTTTTGTGTCAGTACCAATCCGGATGTAAAGGTTATTGGATCAAATTACTTTAAAACACTTTATATTGTATATACACATGGAATCATCGCAGGGGCGCTCTAAAGATAGCAACCAAAACCGCTTTACAAAGGTTATGAGTTGTAAAAATGAAACTGAACTGAACTGTATCATACATAAGTATAAGTTTTCCAGTATATTTCCCCGTCTCAAACACTTTTACAGACCGTAGTGAAACTTATTGTGAGATCCTGTGGATACTAAACCAAGATCATGAACAGGGCACAGAGCATGTATCTAGTAATACGAGCCTGTTGATTCTAGCTCAAAATGCACACAGACACACACACACAGTGAACCTTCGTATCAATGCGTACAAGAGGAACTCTTTTTTCCCCTGAACTGTCGGCCGTCTGCTCATTTGACTTCTAACCGCTTCGTATTCATATTTCCGGAATGGATAGCCGGTCAAATCTGTTGGACTGCGGAGGGCGGTCTTGAACGAATCACGCTACAGTTCAGCGATTTATCAACAAAAATCCTTCGTTTCGAACTTGTTGCTACTACCAATTGAGACTGGGTCACATCAATAACAGCGGCGGGAAGTGT